ACATTACTTAACGCCAATTAAAAACTGCGCGCTATTGTGCATTTTCTTGTACAGGAAAAACCAAACAGAATTTCTGATTCTGGCCCTTAATGGTCAGAATAATAATTAGGACTTTGTCTCTGACGAAGGAACGGCAATAAGCACAATTTTAACCTACTAGCAGGTTGTTGTTTAGTCTCGTCATGAGAGATAGCGTTGCGTGACAAGTTCAAATTAGGGCTGTGGAGGGGACTGCAGGAAGCGTTGTACGAATGCAGTTTGTTTTTGCCAACAATTATTCAGACACCAGCATCAGTTATATAGTGTCCCATTTCAACCTACGTATCCAAAAAAATAACTCCTGCATGCATAGCATGCCTATGTTATGATAATGGTGCTTTTTGCTTTCGAGAATGACTGAAGGTTATTATTTCATGAAATAACCTATGATAAATAGATTATGTTAAGCAGAGAATTACAGAGAATGTTTTATAAGTTACGTTAGCCAACGAAGCGTCTTAACACGATATCTCAATATCTCTAAATAGCTCCACCCCACTTAGGAAAAGGGACTTTTTAAGGAATGTTTTTTCATCAAAATTTGAATTAATCAGTTTGTACGAAACAAAAGATTTGCTTGCTCCGCTCACGAAATAAAACTATTTCTCATATCATATGGCGCCAAAACTCCTAAAAACAGCAAGACGATGTGAAAACTACAAATCCGGTAGCGTTAATCATAATTTTTTCAGACTCTTGCATATAGATTTAAAAAAAAATTATTCAAATTTCACACAAGTTTATTTACATTTCAACCAAGATTGAAACGAATCAAGGTTGGAGGCGATTTCGTGTTTGGCTCTCGCTTTCGTTGCAGATTCATATTCCAATATGAGCAGAAGCAAAATTATAAATTTCATTTCGGAGATGAAAACACGGCATAATAACTATAAAATACTATGACTCTGGTATCGCTAAGGTAAAATATGATCTCAAACTTAAATTTAGCCTCAACCGATTATGGAGATTATCAGCTTGCTAGCAGAGGCCGGACACACGCAACATTTTGTTTAAAAAGAGATCAATCCCGACTAGGAAAAAAACTCATTCCCAAACAAAGGTCAAAATAATGAAATTGTTCTAGCGTTTGCATGGCTATTCGTATTTTGCAACACAATTTAAGAGCAATATCCGCCGATGTTTTTTCAACTTATTAGCCACGAGTAACGACTGTATAACTTAAGAGGTTCCCGGCAATTACAGGTCTTGCCTACGGCAGAGTCGTGTCATTTTCTCGCTATTTCTGGCAGGAAACCTCAGAGTACCTCAATAGTCTGAGAGCAAACAATTAAATCATAGAGCTAAAATTCTTAATTCATTTATATGGCTTTTGATATTGTGACATCTCTATTATTTATGTTATAGAATCGAAAGAATAGCCACGAAAAAAAAAAAAAAACAGAAAAAAAGCGTAATACATTAATTCAAATATTCAATCGACCGTACATTTCTTCCAGACAAAAGAAAAGGAAAACTGCGGTGTAAAGTTCCTTTTCTACATCATTCCATCTAAGCTACTTAGTTCAAGAGCTTCTTAACTAGGAAGCTTATCAATGAAACCGTTTTTCCTTCTCCTATTGAACTAGCAATATAACTAGATTAAGAGATACTGTCGCGTTTTAATTTCACTTTATTAAGTTCCTAGGACGGGCTTGAGAGGGCGTAATGGCGGCTGTGTCTTTGATAGTCCCAGTAAGTCTGTACTTTCTTGGCGTATTTTGCACACATTTACTCTGGCCAGATGTATATTTCGCTGGCAGAGTCATCAGTGAATCTAATGGCTTCGAAACTCGGCCGACTCTCGCTTCATTTAACGTGAATTTGGTGATATTCTTCGACATTCGTCGCCACATGGCTATCCGCCATATTGGATTTTACAAACCATCAACCGCTTACTTTGCAGCAAGGGTCAAGCGATATTCGAACTCAGAGTCGACTTTTCAGCTGGAAAGGTTAGCAGTCAGTGGCGATATTTCACCAAATCCAGGGCCTGATAAATGCAGCACATGCTTAAGATCTATCGCTCGTAATCATCGTGTATTATGCTGTGCTTCATGTTCAAGTGAGTACCACATTAAATGTGGTGGTGTGAAGCCTTNAAAGCCACAACGGCTGGAACCGCTAAGTAACTCATCGGAAAAGGGCAAGTTTGTTGTTTAAAAAATATTCGTGAGGGCAGCAAATGTATTTTCGGCCCAAAACGATCCTAGCAACTCTACCTTTTCATCAGGAAAAGTATGAGGTGGGGCGCGAATGGCTTTGATGTTGTTCAACACAGTAAACTTGGAAATAATCCGCTTAAATTGTCCACTGAAAGCTAGGATTTTTTTCATTCTTGTGGGACATCAACCGAAGCTACCTGCAAAATTTAAGACTCACCCTTTAGTTGATTTGAAGGTCTCAAGACGCAATAGCAAAACCAACCATATTTTTCGAGAGATAAGGTTTTAAGAAAATCAGGAAACAGATGTCATTATGTTTTCTTATGCAAAATAAGCTTGTGGTTATTTTCAGACTCACAGTTTTGTCTTCGCGCATGAGTAACGCTTTTCAAAAGTTTAAAATTCTGCTTCCTAGACAGGAAATATCGTTGAAATTACAACAGATATGATAAATATGTAATAATAATCTAGTTCAATATACTGTAGTCATAAAACAAAACATAATATTAGTATTTGAATGGGGTAGACAATCTAGTGCGAAGCTTTTTTTCAATGGTGTTGCGTTCATTCGGTTGATTAAGCAATCGGAACTTACGCCTTGGGTTTCATAGTGCATTTTCATTAGGAAAAGTCAAATATGTACTGAAAACGTGTACAGAGACATGTGGTAAACGTCTTGAAAACAGCAAATCAAATGAAATATTAACTATTGCCAGTGAGTCAGATATTGATAAAGCGGCTGTTGTTTTTATTATGGCCTTCCTGATCAAATGCACTTACTCTAACTATAGAGATAAAGTTGGCCACTACTTTTAGTAAAAGAAAAGTAATATTCAATATTTGTTTCGTTACCCTTTTATACGGCTTTCCTTTCTTAAGAATAAACGATACGAGAAATGTTGCAATAGGAAGTTTTAGAAATGATGGTCAACTATCGACGATGACAAAAATAATTAAAAATTAACTCTATTGAGCTTATTTGGCATTACTTCTTATCTTGGATCATCTGCGTGGAAAGGTATTCGTCAAATTGAGAGCAAGACTGAGAGTAGATCTTTACTTTATCAGACTAGCTGCATATAAACAAACCTCTCGAGCTTACGGTCTTCTTTTGAACAATCAAACTTGATATCATCGAAGTGACTGTAGACAAAATATGTCTGGCGATTCAGAAGATATATTAAACGTCAATACAAAATTTAAGTGTCTTTTGGAACAGCAAAAAGGTCTATGACAAAGATCAGTGTACAGTGTACAGGAAAACTTTACTCTATCGAACTTTGGCTCTCTCAGTGTGGTGGTTACCCACATCACAGTCAACAGCAGTAATAATAAATCATTGACCTACCTAGGAGGTTTTGATGAAAGGTATTAAAATGACTAAGATCATTCGTTACACTATTATTCAAATGTTCACCTATTGTGACGTCGTTTGGGTTGCCATGGAATAGTGATGTACAAAATTGTGTTCCACCATGTTTGCTTGTCATTATTATAAGCTTCATCTGATAAACAAGAAGCTTTTTTCTCAAGTCCATCAACATATTTTTTTGCGAGCATGAGTATGTACTGACGTTTTTTCTGACATGATTTGAACTCGGCTGACCGCCTTGTATGGTGATGATAACTGTAATACAGATTGCCCACTATAAAGCAGAGCGCATAAGTTGATAGCGTTGAAGCCAAAGGTGGTAAGTAACACCAAATGCCAAAAGTTTCTATTCTGTCTCCCTTTCTGTAGATGGTACTTTGCTATTACAGGAAGTTGGGGTAAAATACAAAAGGAGTTGCGTTTTAAATAATGAAGGATAAAACGTTCTTAAGCAGGGGTGGCTCCGCTGCTTTTCTTTTTTTTTTAATTAAAACGTATCCTTCAGTGAGGTTGGATGAAAACCTGCTCAAGCGGACGAAAGACAATACAGTCAAAAGCATTCTGCAATTCAAAACAAAGTTGGAGAAGATTGATTCCCACAAAAACAACATTTTAAGCACGATTCGTCAAAAGTTTGAATTTTCTTTGGAAAAAGAAGACATCTTTTATTTTTTTTTCTTTAAAAAAAGAGAAGATCGGCCTCAGGTTTTTCTACTTTCAATAACTTACAACTCGACGCACATGGAAGCTGTTTCAATACTCTTAGTCTTCAATATTCACCCGTCGTGGTAAAGTATTTTTTGCATGCTGAGCATTTGTAAAAATCACCTGTTACTTCAAAAAAGGTTTCAATTATAGATTGTTATATTTATTCCCAAATATTGGCTATGACGTTTAGATCACAACATGTAGAGTTGCTTGGATTTTATTTCCGATGGAAACTGTTTTAAGACAAAATTCTTGGAGTGGCTGTAAATAAGCGGCAGTCGTTTCGAAAGTGCTCCGAAATATTCAGAATTTCTTACAAAGGCGAAGTGCACTTCAAGTTGAAATACAAGAGATTATCAAAAGAACGCCAAGTAATGATACAAATGAGTAACTGTTTCGATTACATGTATATTTTAAGGGAATTCTCCTCAAAAAACACGTTTCCTCATTTTCATTATTGTAAACATCATCGTCGAACAGTAAGTATTTATGGAAACGTGATGCTATTCTCCTTCAATGACAACAACAATATAATGTTATAAAGTTTTTCAGATCTTTTATTTCACCATTACATGTAACTATTACAATAAACCATTACTAGTCAGGTGTGACGACCGAAGTCAACTTCGGTTGTGTATCTTAATAGATCCTTAGTTGGGTTTCATATGGGGTTATAGGCTTCCCCTACCNGGAGAGAGAGAGAGAGGGGGAGAGAGAGGGGGAGAGAGAGAGAGAGAGAGAGAGAGAGAGAGAGAGAGGGATTAAACTTGGTGTCCGTGAAACAGTGCTCGATACAAATAGTAGAGCGGGTATAATGTGTGGTAGTCGGAAAAAAACAACTACATATACATCCCTACAGACCTGTTTCGTGGTTGCCCACCGTTACATGTAACTATTACAATAAATCAGAGTGCACTTAATTCGATATGTACGCACTGCCGCTGATTCAAAAATCTATTTGACTACCCATTTTCCGGCCTCGATGTAGATGGGAAAAAGCACTTAAAACTGCATCAATTTTTAACTCTTAATAATTTGTTTTGGGGGAAATAAACATTGTTTTGGTTTGGTTTTGCATTTAATCTTAAAACAAACTACTTGTACCAAAAGTATGCTTTTTGTCAACTTACCGTCGGTCATTGAATATTAATTTGTTTTCAATTTTTTTTCTTTCAACATCTTTTGTTGTCAATGTGGGACGCAAAAAAGTTTATTAAATAAAAGCAGCTATAGAAAAGCTCTCTAGTTCAGAAGGGAACACGGAGGTGTCCTTGTCTTTCAAAAAGTTGTTACCAGAAAGGAAAATTCCTCGTAACCATTTGCTTATTTTTTGTCAAATTTGAAAGAATGTTGTGCCCTTTCACAATTTGCACATGAAAATGGGCGGACTAGAGGCGGTGAAATATGTAATGTAACGCGATGCCAACTGAGGATTCATGTCGGCCAGTAAGCTAAGCTACTGTAATCTTTTTAAAAGTTAGCAGTGAGATATAAACTCCACTACGCCTACAGTTTGTGGAATCTTTCGGTGGAAGTGGGCTGATGTTCATAACGCCTTCTTTGCTATTCGTCATGGTTTTTGTAATCTTAGTTTAGGCTGACGACAAAACATATTCTCTAAAGCTATGTATTCTGTGCCTTCCATTACTTCGCTGAAGAAGTCTTCCCCTTCTTTTCAGCTAAAAAAGAACGAAACACAGAAATTAAAACTTTAAGCAAGTTCTTCAAGGGTTTTGGGGTTGTGTATTCTGGTATTAGTAGAGGTGGAATTCTTTAATGTGGTGATTTTTTTGGTTCCTAATTAACCCTGATCACAATGCGAATTTCTTGCAATGATATTGGATTTATGTATATGAGCACGATCCTTCGCAGTAAAGCACTATTTGAGCAATAGTGAAAATCAGACCTGAAAAAAATTTCAGGCCTGTACGGGATTCGAACCACTGACCTCTGCGATACTAGTGCAGCGCTCTACCAATTGAGCTAACAAGCCAACTGGGAGCAGGCCATCAAATTAATTCGACATAAACCCGTATATGATAAATCAAACAACAACAAACATATGAAACATATGTGTGAACTGCGGTTATGAGACGTATATGAGCACGATCCTTCGCAGTAAAGCACTATTTGAGCAATAGTGAAAATCAGACCTGAAAAAAATTTCAGGCCTGTACGGGATTCGAACCACTGACCTCTGCGATACTAGTGCAGCGCTCTACCAATTGAGCTAACAAGCCAACTGGGAGCAGGCCATCAAATTAATTCGACATAAACCCGTAGATGATAAATCAAACAACAACAAACATATGAAACATATGTGTGAACTGCGGTTATGAGACGTATATGAGCACGATCCTTCGCAGTAAAGCACTATTTGAGCAATAGTGAAAATCAGACCTGAAAAAAATTTCAGGCCTGTACGGGATTCGAACCACTGACCTCTGCGATACTAGTGCAGCGCTCTACCAATTGAGCTAACAAGCCAACTGGGAGCAGGCCATCAAATTAATTCGACATAAACCCGTAGATGATAAATCAAACAACAACAAACATATGAAACATATGTGTGAACTGCGGTTATGAGACGTATATGAGCACGATCCTTCGCAGTAAAGCACTATTTGAGCAATAGTGAAAATCAGACCTGAAAAAAATTTCAGGCCTGTACGGGATTCGAACCACTGACCTCTGCGATACTAGTGCAGCGCTCTACCAATTGAGCTAACAAGCCAACTGGGAGCAGGCCATCAAATTAATTCGACATAAACCCGTATATGATAAATCAAACAACAACAAACATATGAAACATATGTGTGAACTGCGGTTATGAGACGTATATGAGCACGATCCTTCGCAGTAAAGCACTATTTGAGCAATAGTGAAAATCAGACCTGAAAAAAATTTCAGGCCTGTACGGGATTCGAACCACTGACCTCTGCGATACTAGTGCAGCGCTCTACCAATTGAGCTAACAAGCCAACTGGGAGCAGGCCATCAAATTAATTCGACATAAACCCGTAGATGATAAATCAAACAACAACAAACATATGAAACATATGTGTGAACTGCGGTTATGAGACGTATATGAGCACGATCCTTCGCAGTAAAGCACTATTTGAGCAATAGTGAAAATCAGACCTGAAAAAAATTTCAGGCCTGTACGGGATTCGAACCACNGGTATGGAGCATTGTAGTAACATTATTATAACAGAGGCATTCTTTAGTGAAACGTATATGTTATATGTAATTAGTCCGCATACAGATAAGTCAATGAGCAAAGGAGGTAGAAAGGAATCGAAATAAGAATAGGAAACAGACAATAAAGATTGGAAGGCCTTTTTTTCTGACTGGCCCATTCTGACTGTTTTCTTATGACACTAGAGCCTGATTAAGCAAAGAAGTATTTCAAGGTAAGTTATTTTATTTAAAACGTCAGATCGAGAACTTACATGCGATCCTGTCCTTGCAAGAATTTTTGGTGTCAAAAGAGTAATAAATAAAAGGGCTCTGTACCCCCACACCCTCTCCCTGGATTCGCCACTGGGCCTTGAAAATCAGCCTTTTCCAGCAATAACGTGTCTGATATTACGTTTTTAGTGGATGGAAAATACACTGAGTGGTCTGAATTTAGTCCATGTACGGTCTCATGTGGACTGGGTGTGAAAACAAGGAATAGATTTTTCCTTCTCCTATTGAACTAGCAATATAACTAGATTAAGAGATACTGTCGCGTTTTAATTTCATTTTATTAAGTTCCTAGTATGTGTTTTAAAGCGATCTTCAGATTTAATGCAGTTTCAAATGAATTCGTAGGTATCCTCACTTCTAACGAGGCTGGAGATGAATTTTGTGGACAACTTGTGGTTAAATAAACCTTTTCATACTCCCAACTAAAGCATTCACTCCGCACGAAAAATTTTTGAAGAGAGATTCTAAATTGTGTGATGGCATACTTGATAAACAAAAAAAATTTTTTCCTCAAGTATTTTACTTTGCGTCCTCGTCCAATAATACAACAGCGCGTTGATTTTACACTCTAATCACTCTAAGTCCCCTTGGCACTCATTGACAAAAAGAAAGGCTTACAGTATTACCGAACGGCGCTGTAATTATGCACCAATTATCAATTATTAACAACATGTTTCCTTGTTACTTTAAATACAGCCCCCGAGTTCAATGAAACCATTATATAACGAATGGAAGACCTTGGCTTGAAGACCTTGGAGTAGCGCCTGATTGTCATGAAAAACTCTACAGACAGTCATCTACAACAAATGCAACATGGATTGATCAAAGGCTTATGGCTAAAGTTAGGTGAAATCCATTCCGGGCTCGCAATTCCTCGATGAAGATGGTTTTGGGAAAGGCTTGTAACCTCGTAACTATTATAACACTGACCCAGGTGATATACCTAATGATCAACATTAGGATTTTAAAATTCGTCTTCCTCATCTCATCTACTAATTCTTTTATTTTTAATTTCAGTGCGTTCACCTTGTAAAGGGGCTTACTGTAGCTGGTAAGATACCTTCTTTGAAAAGTTCGTGTGTAAAATCATTACCATTATCCTAGAGTCTACATATTTGTAAATAACTATATCTCCGTGGTACACAGTAAAGTGTTTCCCTAAGAAGAGCTCTCCTTTTTGTCACATTTATAATTGTGGAAAGCTCTATTTGAAGTAAATTTCAAACACCACGTAACGCATTTTTTCAATTAACCAGCATTTGAAACAGATTCTTTCAAGATGTAGCTGTGAAATATATCACCATATTCAACCCTACGATCTAGAGCGACAAGGGTGGACTAAATCTACACTTAGGGCTGAGACCATACATAAACCATATAATTCAGTTCCTGTTTACTATTTCAGAGTTAGTGAATTAGAACATGCAAATGTAAATTCATTATACTACAAACTACCCTGTATGAATCCTTATGTCGTTTGCATCTGTGCATTGGTAATGAATCGATCTACTACGTTGGAAATATCCCTACAGGTGTCGAGTGAAACTTATCAAAATACTCATTAGGGGTTAGAAATGTTTGCTAAAACTAGCCTTCGTCTTTCTTTTAAAAATTTTGGCATTAGCCCTAAGAAAATATATATAACTATTCCTTATGTCTTTTTTTTCTTTCCTGATTTTTGGTGATTTCTTTCCCATGCCCGAACAATTGGATTCCAGTCGAGTTCAACATATGAGACCCGCGAACAACCTGTCGTCTTGGAAAACCGCGAGAATGAAAAATAATTCAAAACTGCTATGGTTAGGGCACGAACAGATTTTTTTTTGAAGTATTTATTCCCCATCT